TTAATTTTCTTATATTTTTGTAGGAAGGTAGCAAGCTGCACAGCCCCATTTATAAAACGCTGACAGAAACACACAATAATTTACAGAGCACACAGACAGTTTTCGGGATGAACTCTCCTGCATGCCTGGTGGTATTGTTTCTGCTTCTCCTTCTATAATGGCCCAGGGAAGCCAGAAAGGTAAGAAAAAAAGAGGTATCAAGCAATGAATTATTTGCAAGCAGTATAAGCAGAGGGATAAACCTTTTAAAACCTGTATCTATAGAGCGGGCACTTCAGAAGGTAAATAGGTATAATAACTATCTAAGGGGGTTCCCCCTCTCTCCCCACCCTCCTGGTATTTCTATTCAAACTGAATAAAGCCTGACTAGGTAGCTGGCCTTTAAGCCTTCAATTAATTGAACAAAGATTTAAAAATTGTTCAATTGGTTTCATTAGGAAGTGTACAATGAAATAATAAAGTAAAACAAATGATATAAAGCAGGGACACTAATTAGCTCTACATGATTGATATAGCTTTGGACCAGGCATTTGATCTCCAGCAAAATGCAGTTCCTTGTTAAGAGGATTTTTAATTGATGTGCAGAGAGGTATTAGATGATGTTGGAAAATAATTACTCCGAAGCTATTCATGCATTTGGCTGAACATAACAAATGAAGTTTGGGCACTGGATCTGGCGAAGTGGACACGTGCTAATTAATAACGAGAACAAGCATCTTCCAGGCTTTTTTAACCCAGTATTTGCTAGGAGATTGCCGAGCCATTATGCGCCATAATGAGGTTGTCATATAAACAAGATCAACATGACTCAGGTGTCAGTTAACTGGAGATCTCAAACGCTCGCAGCCCAGGCGCGTTTCCCCGGTTGTTAAAGGTTGTCATGTCTGGATGGCCGGTCAAAACCGCTGCTCATGCTCAGGCTTGTTGATGAAGGAAACGTCGGAATGAAAGAGCAAGTCCGTCGGAATGAAAGAGCAAGTCCTTGCTATTTTTTCGGTCTGGTGAAGAACGTCCCCTTAAGAATAAAAACACAGGAGTCCTTGCATTTAAAAGAAGAAAGAAAGACTTTTCTGAAAGACATGAATATTGACTAGGGCAAATATGCTCTTCATCTCTAAAAACTTGATGAGCATATGCACCGAGTTACACATAATTTGTTAAATCTGACAAGAGCAGGAAATTAGCATTTGCTTGATCTCGGCCAAATTCCTTGCTCAGAAAAATGTGTGCATGTTGACATGAAATTAGAAGGACTTCTGGGTGAATATCTAAAGGCAGAAATTGTCTTTCTTTGTTTTATGTAAGGCGGCTTCCTACCCCCCCCCCAACCCCCATCACTCTGAATGGTGGAAAAGAAGGGTAATGCAGGATGTGTTTTCAAAGTCAGAAATGGCGCAGTTTTCAGATTTTGATAACTTACACAACTGATATCGTAAAGAGAAAAACTTGAGTGTGGTGTTCATGAAGAATGTTGACTAATTACTCACTCAACTTTTGCAACAGGTCAGCTCAGTTTCTGGGAGCAATTTGATGCCTGTCTTTTGAAAAGTTACTTCACTCAACAGTTCTCTACAAATTCTTCAAGTTCCCTAGTTTTTGTACTGGAGTCTTGTCATTTTTTCCATTAAATTATGTTATGCACAGGTTCCTAAAACATTCTAAGCGCTCACCTGATCATGAAAGATTGTGGTTTGTGAGTCTATGTGGGGAATGTGTGCAGAAAGGAGGAGAGACGTTGGAGGGAGAGGACCCCAGACTAAGTGTGTTTCTCCCACCAACATAAGGAAATGATGCTGCATTACTGCCTGGCTGCAATGAAAGAAGATAATGACTGTTGCCTCTCACAGGATCCATCACTAGCCAAGAGTTCAGCAAGGAGGGCTAAGGCACCATGGTCCCTGCCCAACACAGGACTGACTGTTGACAGGCCCAGCACTGTGTAGGCCCATTGCAGAAAACCACAGCCACTGTGAGGTTATCACTGAATTGGTTGTCCTGTGACCAGAAGACAGCATTCATACACTCTTCTCCTTACTGTTTGGTGCTTAGAGTGCTTCAATGGCTTCTTCCGTGATGATCCCTGAGCTTTGGGGGGGGGGGTAGTAGAGATGTACTACTTAAATCTGAGCACCCAACTGTCATTTATTCTCAGCATCTTGATCAGCCGTGCATCGCTACACCCAATGCCCTTCATTGCAAAAAGAAGCTTCTCTGATTAAGGCTGGGAGCAGCATTTGTCTGTGGGTATTAACAACAATATTTAAGACAGTTAGGTACAATGATAATCTAGCTAAACGATGGCAGTAGTTTGCCCTTACGGCCTGTGCTTTCCTCAGTCATATCAGGTATCAGTCCCCTCTTGTGGATCAAACCTTAAATCCTAATCAGACATCTGTTGTTTATCTCCACATCAGTTGTGCCACTATCACACCCTTGAACACATTTTATCTGGCAGGTGGGTGTTCTAGAGTGTAGAGATCACAATCAGGTAAGACTACAAATGTGTGGAGTTTTTGTTTGTTTGTTTGTTTTTATAGCGTTCTATGTAGCGCCTTCAGGCAACCCTGTGGAAGCTAGCCCTCAGGAAGGAAGCTCCCAGCTCAGTTCCAGCTTAGATTTCTCTATAAGATACAACCAAGGTGTGTGATGTCTTCAGGAATAGGGTCTTATCAGCTGCTTGCTGTAGATAATAAAGAAGACTGGTAAGAGCATGTGTTGTTTTAAGTTCCTCCGGGGCCTCCCTGACTAAAACAGTTGTATTTTATGAGGAAAAGTTATGTCATAGTTTTATAGAAGCAGTTGTGTCCCAGCCATGTGGGAACACTAGACAGAGAAACATTCACGTATAGAACAGTTCATAAAAGCTGGGGAACAGAAGTAAAGGCAGGCCTAAGGATCTATCAATGAAGTGGGAATTGGCTTGCAAAGAGATAGAAAGCTTCCCAGGGAAAACTCGGGATTCCCTCACACATTTAGAAATTGAGAGGTGGGTGTTTTAAACCAGATCTTCCCCAACTCTCCAACTAGTTTTCATCAGGCTGTGCTAGCAAAGCCAGCTACATCATTTGGGGCACCTAGCACAAAACCAAAACACAGGAGCCATTGTTCAAAATGAACAAATAAATGATTAAGAGTGGGGGTACTGCTAAAAATACTACAAGATTAAGATTTACTTTCTTCCAGCATCTGTCTCTTGACTTGCCATACCTTTTTGTCTGCTATTAATGTTGTTCCAAATAAACAGAAACAATAATATCACATTTACATAGATTTTATTGTTCACCGTTAAAATTGCACAATATTGGTTCTAAATATGAATAACACAGCATTTATATCCTATGTAGAATCTCTGAATTGTGTGTGTGCACGCACACTGCGCATTTGTGCAGTTTTTTCTTTGAAGATGCCTACATCTATCCAAGAAGACAAAATTATGCAGATGCAGGAATGTTAAAAGGAGAAAGGAGGTTTCTGAAAGTTACTAAACAACAGAAACCACCTTGGCATGGGATACTCTTAGGGACCTGTGCCTGGCAAGTCAGAAAAACTAAAGGCGTTCAGGCTCAATAGTAACTGGGTTCCCCCTTCAGACAGTAACCAGACCCAAGACATCTGAGCATCTCACTACCAAGTGAGTTTTCCCACTGTTTTGGTGGACTCTTCTATGGTGGCGAGCTCCAAGCCTCCAAGCCGGAGGTGTGGTTAGGTACCCTGATAAAGCAGGAGCTCACTCCTGCTCAGGTGGCTGCAGAAGGGACAAGGGCTCTTTTGTGGCCAATCCTGTTCCTACTCGACAGTCTAGAGCTTGGCAGAAGTGTATGCGGCATCGTTGCTTTCTATGGCTGTAATAAAGGCCATGACCTAAAAGCAATTCGGAAAGGTCCCTCTTCCCAGATGCCATCAAGTTGACAAAAAACTAGCTAGAACGTCATCTTGATGAAATCACTAATTGTGTGTGTATTTGTTTGAAGTGATTTTTTTTTCATGGACTTCTCCAACAGTTATACATATGAATTGTGTTTGAAGAGTATGTGACTGCCGGGTGGTGGTGGCGCATGCCTTTAATCCCAGCACTCGGGAGGCAGAGCCAGGCAGATCTCTGTGAGTTCGAGGCCAGCATAGGCTACCAAGTGAGTTCCAGGAAAGGCACAAAGCTACACAGAGAAAAAAAAAAGAGAGAGAGAGAGTATGTGACTGTCTTGGAGAACCTACTTCTGGAGAAATCCAACTTCAGTACTCAGAGAATCCATGGCATAGAGAAAGTGCCCAACTAGCGAGGTTACTCAATCAGCATGGAACAGACAGACATCTTGACATTTTTGACCCTGGACAATTTCAGGCCAATATTTGGAGCATGGTTTTTCTAAAGGAACATTCTAAAATCAAAGCCAGGTGCTTCCTTGGCGGTGTGTGTGTGTGTGTGTGTGTGTGTGTGTGTGTGTGTGTGTGTGTGTTTTCTGGAGCAGATTGCACAAAGATCAAAGCCCCGCTGTTATGGTGGATGAGAGAGACATTGGGAGCAAGACCCAGGCCCTTTCACCTTTGATGTGAATTGCTGGAATTTTCCTTCCTTTGGTCTGCAGGCTGTCCATGTGCAAATGAACTCAGTACTTGTCACTGGACACCCCACACAACCTCCTGAGCTAACTGTAAAGTCTGTTTCAATGACTGAAACAGCCAAGTACTTCCCCAGGACTTTTCAAGATGGAGAGTGATTGTTTTGCCAAATCCTATGGTCCAAACGACTTGCTCCCTGAACACTGACTTCTGTCCAGCACTGAATTTATAAGCACTTTTTTTTTTTAATAAGTCTGGTTGAAGTAATTCTGGAATACCGATGCCTTTTTTTAAAAAAAAAAAAAAAAAAAAAAAAAAAAAGAAGAAGTTATAATTCACCTATAGTTGTCAATGAGAAATTTAATGAAGGACATTGTCTGCACTTGCTGTCCTTTCTTGAGAGAAGAAATGCCACTTACGTGTCTGAAATGGGAGATGGCCTTTCTCCGCAGCCCCAGGAGACACTTGATTGTGAAGAGGTTGAGGGTAGAGATTGGCTTAGGCGGCTTATGGTAAAAAAAAAGACCCCAAAGAAAAGCAACCAGTTTCTCCCTCAGCTAAAAGCTAGAAACGTCCTTGGGACTCCCCCTAACCTTGTCCTTATAGAGCTGTAGATGCTGGTGTCTCTGGTTTTGCTATACACAGTGGTCTCTTTTCTCTCATCTCTTCCCTCAAAGAATACCCCTTTCCTGAAAACCACGTAGAGAACATGACTGAGCACAAACTGGACTGACCAGCTCATTTTCCTGTCCATCCACGAAAGCCTTACTGACTCCAAGGCAGTGGAGCTGAGTGGTCTCTCGCTATCTGTAACCCTTTCACTATGCAGGCACACTGCCGACTTTCTCTACTAAGTTCCTATCACAAAATACTTCTCTCGAAAACTTACCTTCTGGGCTCTGTGAGTTTTGTGCTCCAAATTCAGGAGAGAAGCGCCTAAAAGCCTCTAGCTTGGGCTGGCTTTGGTGGCTATTGAGTTTCTGGGGCCCTAATTTGTCAAGCTATGCACAACAGAGCAGGAAAAGGCACCATGGCACTCAGAGACACTCTCAGATTCATGTATCAGTATTAGCTATTGCGGTCTCCAAAGTTCTGGTTGCACAGTGATGCTGAGCTAGCAGCCCAGAGCCACACAGCGGAGAGGTAGCAGATGGCACCTGTACACAGAAGTCATTGGCCTCCAAAGCTACTGCTATGGTCCCAGTGTTCTCTTGCTCCAACTTTCAGTTTTGTCTAAAGCATCATAACTTTCTTTCCCTCAAAGGAAATGAGGCTCCTTCCCCCAGGCACCCTCCAGCAAGTGTCTCCTTTGAAGACTTCCCCCAGCTCTAACTGTCCTCAGCACTTCCCCTCTCCCTGTCTGCATTGTGTTCCTGGTTGCTTCCTCTTAGAATCTAAAAGAAAGAAGGAAGAGAGCTTGGTGTGTGTGTGTGTGTGTGTGTGTGTGTGTGTGTGTGTGTGTGTGTGTGTGTGTGTGTGTGTGTGTGTGTGTGTGTGTGTGTGTGTGTAGTGTATATGCATGCATGTGCTCACCACCCATCTTTTTTCTCCAGGCTTCTTCCTCCTCTTCAGTGACTTCCTGCATTTTTGTTGAGCAAGGACCAGCAGTTTCTGGCACACTCTTTATTCTGCTTTAAACACACACACACACACACACACACACACACACACACACACACACACACATATATATATTGCACGTGCGCATGCGTGCTCGATCTAGGCTATTTACCTGCCAGACAGGTTAGAAATACTGTGTTCATGATATACAATGGTGGTAAAATCTGGCTTCTGTTTGGGTAGAATAGCACAGAAAACAGAGGTTCTCTGAGATCACAGGCATCTTTTTTTTTTTTTTTTTTATTTCTCGGTAGTGTGATCCTACTGCCTACTTAGAGTGATCCTACTACCTCTGCCTTGTGACATAGCTGTTTAATGCAGCTCTCAACTTTTTGCCCCCGCCATCATTCTGTATCAGTGAGACATAACCGGAGTGGACGGGGCTCTTTCCCACATCCCATAGGTGTCAATCCCACTGAGAATAAGACCACACCCACAGTTTAAGACCAAATTTGAAGCAAGCTGTAATTAAATACTGACCATGTGGATGGGCTCTGGCCAGGTCCATCTCCGGCTCCCTAGAAAAATGGCGCCAAATCAAGTCTGCAGCAGCTTAAGTATTTCCCATCAAGTCCATTCAGGGGCAAGCGTACATACTGATACACTTCCTGCCCCTCTTGCCCACACCTGATCAAGCACATCTGGAGCAGATGGGTTAAACAAACTTGTTTAGGGGAGTGAAGACATGTAGCTTGTTGTCTCCCATCAACAATAGCCTCCAGCATTTAAGGAACTATCTGTCCTTGGGCAAGGGGCTTACAGATCAGAGGCATTTTTGCTTCATGGATCTCTAAGGCAGAGTAATTAAAACTTAAAATCTAACTTTGGCTCTCACACTGCAAGGTACTGACAGCCAAAGTGTGGGGTAGAGTAGAACTCAAGTTAGGGGCACAGGTAACCCCAGTACTATTGCTTCCAAGAGGCTCCCCACCTCCACCCCATCCCACCCCCACCCCCATCCCTCCCACAACCACTGTCCCCTGCCCTCCTTTGATCTGCCATCCTGAGTTTTCTCAGCCACATGCTTCTTTTCATGCAAAAGCCAAGTGAGAAAAATAAGTTTGAGGCAAAAACAAATTGTCCAAGGCTGCGGGGCTGTTTCTGTCAATATTTTGGTCGCTTGTTTAAAAATTTTTTTTTTAATGTTTGTGCAGTTGTCTTTGAGTCTTTTCCTTTGGCGCCTGTATCAATATTTTCTATTTTAGAGGGCAGGTTCCCGGAGAGATGGAATTGGGTCTTTGTTTCTCTTCCAGATCTCCACAAAACACCCAAACTATGTGATCATTTTACAGAATTTGTTTCTGATGAGGAATTCTCTCTCCCTAGCCACCCACCCTTCTCATCTTTATCTAATTCTTTTAGCAAAAACACAGAGGACTCTTTAACTCGAGGAAGTATTTGTTTGTCTTTGAAGCCCAGCAGAGATTCTAACAAGACAAGGAAGCCACCAAGACTGTGGAGGAGGTGGAGCAGCCTCAGGACGGCCTGAGCTTGAGAAATCTCCCACAGCGAGACAGTGGCCCCAAGGTGACAGAATTCCTTCCCTTGGAGAAAAAGGACTGAGAAAATTAGGATTCTTTCGACAGAGTTGGAGCGTAAAGCAAGAAAGGCAAAGAAGGTCCACAGGCTTTGAAGGCCAGTTGACCAGGCTTTGCCGCATCTCAGCTGTGTGACTCTGGGTGACTAATTTGGTGTCATAAATTTTGTCATACAGAACAGATGGAGGACTGACTTATGGAAGCAATGGCGTCAATTCTCAGACATCTTCAATGAACGTGTTCCACGGTGACTCAGAGTCATTTGGTTCTGCGCAGCGTATTTAAAGAAGTTGTCACTTATAAGCTGGACCGGTGGATGTTGGCTTAGAAACCCCACTTACCTGTTCTATGCTTTCTGTTGGTGTTTGTTCTATGGATACATGTGGCCTTTTCATTACAAAGAACAAGACAACAGAGGCCATGTATATGTTGGGGAGGGTCTTGAAAAGACAAACAGCAGAAGTTGCAGCAGAAGTTGCATAGTATTAAGCTTGGGGAAGGAAAATCAGAGTTCTTCTTGGGGTTCTCCATCTCATTAAAAAGAGAATTTAAGGAATAACTCAAAGGACTCCTAAAGACAATTTGTCAGAGTTTAAAAGAAACACCTGAGGGCAGGTAAGCTGTGTGTCGTCATAGCTTCCCAGAGGAGGAGACAGAATTAGAGAGGGAAAGAGAGACCTGCCATGTGGGTTCAGCCACATGGAGGTCAGCCATGTGGCAGCAGGAAGCCACGTGGTGGGCAGAATGCCTTAGATAAAGAGTAAAGAAACTCAGGTGTTAGGAAATTGATGCTTAACACAGAGATGTAAAGGGGGAGAAAAAAAAAACCTTAGGCTTTTTGTGAGTAATTTAGAAAACAAGGCAAAGGCCAACTTACAAACCAGGATGGTTGTGCTCTGTATGAGTCCATGCTAGGGGGCAGGAATTCTGAGGGAAAAAACAAAAAATAAAAAAACAAACAGCAACAACAGAAACAAGCAAACAAACAAAAATAAAAAAAAACCTTAGCATCTCATTAAAGGGATACTTAGGATACTTACTGTACCTTTCTGAAGAGCATAGCTTAAGGTTAACCCACCTTTCTGGGAGGTGCTCCCCTAGCCCATCATTGATCCACACCCCTCCAACACACACACACACACACACACACACACACACACACACTAACCATTAAGAAAGGAGACAATTATCTGTTCCCACCTAGAGATAACTAGCAGAATAGGATTCCTTTTATTCCAGGTCCTTCCAGGGATATCCACCTTCCTCATTTCTTCTGACTCTGAAAAGAAAGTATACAAAATCCTGGCTGTGGAATATTCAACAAAATGGAGAAAAATCCAGGCAGCAGCCCAAATGTTGGAACTCCAAAAAGCTACTGTACTGGACAGCTCCTGTGTTCTGAACCCCACGCTGCTGGCCTGGCTGTGCATGGTGACAGTCTGATCCTGGCCGTGGAGGTACTTGGGGCTTATTTGTGTTCATGGAGCCTTGTGAGTTAGAATGCAGATTCCTAAACTCTCTCAAGACACCCTTGGAGGCACGCACTCTATCTGCTGTTGAGGCTCCAGCCTCAACTGTGTGATGCTTGCTGAGTGAATGGCAAAAATCAGCGACGAGGGCATGATGAATAACCGTGAGAACAGATGTGCCTCTCTGCCAAGACTTCTCAAGCTGGGCCAGTACAGAGAGCCAGCCATGCCCGCCTTGAACTTACTACCTTGTTCTGCATTACTCTACACAGTGTGGAGCGGTGGCTGTCAGGCTGGACCTTGCCCTCAGTGATTCCATTTCCCAAGCAGCATTTGGATCCATTCTGAGTACAAATGGAAGGACGAGATTGACTCTGCAGCTGGGTAGACGTGTAGACAGCACCACCTGTACGGCTTCATCCGGAAGCTAATCCATACTTAGTCTTAAAAGTCAACAGGTTGTTGTCCATAAACTTATTAAAGCACATTGGGAACATATGAACCACATGAGTGTGTTAGAATCCTATCATAAAAAAACAGTCCAGAGAATTCATTGAAAACACACACACACACACACACACACACACACACACACACACACACACACACACCTGATTAAGGCTGCAATGCTCTTACTACCAGAAGAGCCTCCCTGACCTGTCATCTGGCCACCAGTCAAGGGACGGAGGGACAGAGAAATGACTGTCCCTGGGGCTTTACTTAGCTCGGTTTCCCGAGTTGACAATCCAATTCATGCCTTGCTTCTGGGGTCCTGCACTCTGCAACCCTACCCAGTTCTGTGGGAGAGGAGCGTTTGAAAGACTAAACGGGGCTGGTCGGTTGGCGGAAGAGTCACGAGCCATGGATACCAGAGTTAGAATGCGCTTTATCAGAGAGAAGAGGGGATAGGACAGGAGAAGCCAGACCTGGCAGGGGGAGGGAAGCGGGACGGAGCAGACAGCAGAGAGGAAACGGAAAAAGGGAGAGTGGGGGTCCGTGTGCTGCTTTTTAAGGCGGAGATTGCGTGATCACGCAGCTGTACGCAGTTGCCCGCAACACCCTGATGACGTAGGACGTTACACGCGGAAGAGTGAGAGCAGGATACTAACAGAGTTCATGTTGCTAATTGAGATTAAAAGAACCTGCATCTGGGCCTATATGCAAAACCTCAGGGAATAGAAGGCACTTGCTGCTAAAACTAGTCACCTGGGATCGATCCCTTGGAAAGAGAGGACTCCAGCCAATTGTCCTCTGACCTCCACGCACATGCCATGGCACATGCACACATGCACACTCACAAAATTAAAAAAAAAAAAACAAGGTAAATAAATGTAAAGAACCTACATTTGCCAATTGCCAGCTACTCTCTAAGCGAGTCTCTCTGTTATCTTTATGATAGCCACATGTACAATTTGGTGGGTTTGGAAGCCATTATCTTCAAGGGTTGCTAAAGAACAGAAGGAGATCACAGGACGGTTTCTGAGAACACCTGGCAGAATTATAATTCATAAGGTAAATCTTGGTGTCAGAGTTAGGATAGCTTCATCATAAACAAGGGAAAGGCCGGGCGGTGGTGGCGCACGCCTTTAATCCCAGCACTCGGGAGGCAGAGCCAGGTGGATCTCTGAGTTCGAGGCCAGCCTGGGCTACAGAGTGAGTTCCAGGAAAGGCGCAAAGCTACACAGAGAAACCCTGTCTCGAAAAACCAATAAATAAATAAATAAATAAAATAAATAAACAAATAAATAATAAAAAAAAATAAACAAGGGAAAGAATCTATTTGTTTTGAGATTCCAGAAAAGGGTGGGGGAGGGACAAGGATCCACTCACAGTTCCATATCTTGGACCTTAAACCTGGCTCCCAGGCGTTTTAGCATAAGCTACCTGTCTGTGACATGCCATCTCCGTGTTGGCAACAGACACAGAAGACGTTAATTATAATGGGATTGCTGCTTTTCCACTAACCAACGGCTTCAGTCAGACTCGGGTGAGGAATTCCTCTCCCATCTCATGTCCCCATAACTTCCTCTGTCTTTCTGTCTGACCTCAGTGATCAGCTCCTTGCGGGTGAATTGGGAAAATTTTCACCCAGAAAGGATATCGCCATTCCAAGTGGTAGGGATGTATTCTGGGGCTTAGTTGCTTGAAAAAAAATATAGCCTGGTCATTAGACCAGATTCTTTTTGTAGTAAATAACAGAATTCCACTTAAGGTACCTGGATCACAATGTTAAGATCTGTTTTAAGGAGAGGAGGGCAGGGCATAAGAAAGTTCCGATCTCCTGAAACTGTAGTTACAGATGGCTGTGAACTACCTTGTGGGTGCTGTGAATTGAGCCTGGGCCTCCTGGATGAGCAGTTAGTGCTCTTAGCCTCTAAGCCAACTCTCCAGTCCCAGGGCATGAGAATTCATGAGCTTGTCTGTCTTTCTTCATAGTACTTCCTAATTTCCCGTGGTATTCAGGTTTTGGTGGAGAAGTCTCATGGGGTTGACAGCAAATTTGATTTTGATGTGTTTAGATTAATGGTGCCTATACATGACATGTAATTGAGAAGTTCATGTACCTTACACAGATCTCTGTGACCTCATAGTCTATTACCTCAAAACCAACCAAACAAAACTCTGGGTGTTAGTTGAACTATTTTTAATTTGATTTTTAATTATGTGTATGCATTTGTGTCTAAGTGTGCATTTGTTCACTGAGTACAGTACCCGTTGAGGTAGGAAGTGTCAGATTCTCTGGAATCAGATATTTAGAGTGGGTTGTGAGTCACCAGAAGTGGGTGCTGGGACACAACTTAGGTTCTCTGCAAGAGCAGTATGTGTGTCTATCTGCTGAACCATCATTCCTGCCCTGAGTTGAACGAAGCTTGAGATTCACAAACAGATTCATTTGTGTTATCTATTTCTACACATAAGCATGGCGTCATGGGCAGCCTTCTTGTTTCCATCAACGTTTTAATTGAAATTGTGACTGTATGTGGGGATCTATCATGGAGTTCACATCTACAATAACAGCAAGACATTAACATCAATCTAAGGCAACTCAGTTAATTACTTGACTAATTTAATCTCCTCTAGTGTTTCTGGGACTCAAAGGTGGCTTTACTTAAGTGTACCACCTGCCAATTGTCAGTATGCAAACATATCAATAATAGAGAAGAACCAAGCCTCACAAGTCTTAGGACCATTGGGATTTTTGCTTTGACCATATCCATGTGTCCCCCACCCCCACCCCCAGCTGATTCGTTAGTTCTCTGCTTACCTTCACTTGCTGGGTCATCTCATCGAATAGTATCTGCAGTTCATTTGTCAGGATGTGAGAGAAAGAGAGAGAGAGAATGAAAAAGAAAACCATCTAGAAACACCATCCACGTCCAGCGGTAAGCACACTAGTGAACAGACGTGGCATCCTTTTGAATACTGTCCACGGTCTTCAGTGTTCCCAGGAAGCTTTGCAGTTGAGGGACTCAGTCTCCCTGCTCCTGTGTCATGCAGGGGAAGCTGCGGACCATTGAAAATCGAGGATGATAAGATCCATGTTCTAAGACTAGTGTAGACATTAAATGAGCTTAATGCTTAACTGGTAAACATTAGATGGGCCTTCCTTCTCTCCCTCTCCCCTCCCGCTTCCTGCTGAATTTCTACACTTCACTCATAGCTGAGTGAAGAAGACAACCAAGCAACGTTCTCGGACTATAGGACTAGATCTCCAACAAGCATCTAATTGCTTCAAAATTTAATTTGGCTGTTGCCAAGATTTTGACACAGGCATTTGTTATAGGTGCCCATTGTAAGTATATTTTTAGCTTTAATTTTCACAGATGATGGGAAGGGTTAATACTTACTGCTAAACCGTTTCAGAGCATATAGGATGGAGTGTTACTCAGCCTTAACTCGGAGAGGGATTTCTGACCCGTGAGACAACATGGAAACTGAAAACTGAAAACACCATGCCGAGGGAATGAAGGATCACTAATGTATGCGTCTACTTACAGGAAGTCCTGACAGTAGCAGGATTCAGAGAGAGAAAGGTAACTTTTGCTAGCTGTCAGGGCGGAGAGGACTGGAAGGATGGAGCTTAAAGTGAAGAACTGGGGAAGGCGTTCCCTCAGTTGCTCTATGCATGTCTTCATTTCACTCTTCTTGTGGGAGCTGTGGCCACAATCCAGGCTTACTTTCTTGACTTAATACTACATCTTAGAGCTTTAAAGTGATTCTAGGGAGACTATATACTGCACAAAATTCTGGACGGCTGTTTAGTTTGCCTCTAATTTAGTATCTTTGCTAAATGCCAGAGTACATATCATTCCACGTAAACTTTCACGCAAGTGTGTTCTATCCCTTCCTACAGCAAGATTCCTGAAAGTTGATTGCTGAAGCAAAGGCTAAACACATTTCATCTTATGAGAGATGAAAAGAAGAAAATTGTTTGTAAATATTTCCTGTTTTCGACAGCATGAATGAGCTCGGATCTGCACATCTTGATCACACTGTTTATTCTTAACCATTGAAGATTATCAGTATAGTGGGTTGAAATAGAACAATTATTGTCCTAATTACAAAGTCACTAAATTTTAGTGAAATGATTCTTTCATTTCTTTATTAGATTTGCCTCTTATAACGTTTGCATATATTCTTCTATTTTGTTTTTATTGCTTTGCTTTCCAATCAAGTGTTTATTTTTCACAAAATTTTATGATGATCTACACTATCAAATCTGTCAGTGACTTTCTTTAAGCCTATTTGGTTTTTAGCACTGCTTTTGAAGGTAGAGAATCCCTTCTACCATCTATATAATTTGTTTTCTAGGCATTTAACTATTGTATTAATCCATGCTCTTGCAGGTATACAGCATGAGAAAATAATAACCACTTGGTCACCTCAATTTCTTTCTTCACAATAATGCTTTAGATATGGCTGTTACCTATGTTCAGAAAAGGATCTTTTAAAATGTTCTTCAGTTTGGACTTTTCTGCACTGACCAGCTTTGACTGACTTTGCACCAGACTACCTATCAAAGCAGCAAGGGAAACAGCCTTACATGGCATCTCCTCGTTTCTTTTGACTTAAGGGTATACTTGCATTTTAAATGTTTGCTGTTATTTTAGAAATTGTGTGTGTGTGTGTGTGTGTGTGTGTGTGTGTGTGTGTGTGTGTGTGTGTTGAGGGTGGGGGTGCTCTCCTACATTATCCCAGAAGATCTCAGAAGAACAAAAGTGTTTCTAAATGCAGCCATCGTGCTCGTGAATGCCTTGTGAAGAAATTTCATAACCAAGAGCCCGTTAACAGGACCGATTATTGAAGACAACTGTGGTTCCTGTGTAGGTTTGCTTGTGCGATGTGTGAACCACGCTACTAATTTTCTCTTTGACCAAATGCTCCTGCTCTGGAATATGCCTGACTCCCCTAAAGCTTCGAAAAACAGCTTTAAGCTTCTCACTTCTTTAGTAAAGAACTTCTCAGTTGATTTCAAGTGAAATGCCAACAGTCTCGCTTTTTTTTTTTTTTTTTTCAAACACGCTTCACAGCCATGGCTGTATATCCACTTTAAAAGTGTATGTTTTGTGGGTGGGGGTGCTGTGTGCTTTCAGCAGTTGTCAGATGTTTTATTTTGGGAAAAATTCTAAATAGCATTTGAAAGATAATTAAGGGTTGCTCAAGTTTCTTTCAGAATAAAAAAAAGGTATATTTTTCTTCCTTTGTTCATTTTTGCACTCAATACTCCATTCGTCACCTCCCCCTCTATTTTATAAATCTTTTAATTAATGGTGTTTATTCTCCTCTCAGACTGGCCCGAGTCGTGTTTTTATGA